TCAGACAAAGAAGTAAAAGCAGCAAATAAACATATGAAAAAATGTTCAACATCACTGGTCATTCAAGAGATGCAGATGAAAACAATGCTGAGATTCCACTTCACCCAAGAAAATATGGCTGCTATCAAGAAATCAACCAATAACAGATGTTGGGGTTGTGTGGAGAAAGGAACCCTTCTCCATTGTTGGTGGGAGTGCAGACTGATGCAACTACTGTGGAAATCAATATGGAGATACCTCAAACATGTGGAAGTCCCATTTGACCCAGCTATTCCTCTACTGGATATCTTCCCAAAAGAATTAAAAGAATCATACCACAGTGATGTATGCACACCCATGTTTATATCAGCACAGTTTGTAATACCTACAGCTTGGAAAGAGCCCACGTGCCCATCAACTGGAGACTGGATAAAGAAGATGTGGGGTTTTTTTTAATAAAATGGAGTACTACTCAGCCATAAAGAATGAAAAACTAGAGACATTTATAGCTAAATGGATGCACATTGAGGCCATACTCCTAAGTGAAATAAATAGGACACACGTGTAAATACCAAATAGTTTCTCTAGTGTGAGTAACTGAAAGTGTAAATAAGGATTAAAAGGATTAATAATGAATAATTGATAATTTGAAATAGGAAAAGGTCCAAAGGGGTAGGGGTGATGGGATGAGATGGGGAAAGGAAAGAAGGGAAAGGAAAAATTATGAGAAAAGAAAAAAATGGAAACAAAGTCTATGTAAATAGGGAACGGTGGAGGGGGTGAGGGGCACACAGGTAATGGGGAAAAAATAAGAACCAAGATACATCATGTACAGCTACAAGCACCTGATGATAAATCCAAATGTATTGTATACCTAAAATGTACCAATAAAAGAATTTAAGGAAAAAATAAATTGTTTACAGAGGCCAGAGAAAGGAAAAAAAAATCTTTAGGTGTCCCCTACTCCATCACTGCCTTGGAAACTTTGATTTAGAACATTTTGGGGTTGAATTTGCACACACATCTTGAAAAAAAACCCAAAACCTCTCTAAGCCAGTGATTCATATGTGTACCTCTGGTTAGAACCCACACCCAGGAAGCATCCATCACTGGAGACAACTTGCTGTCATCTGTGATGCTATCATCAGTCTGACTTATGGGGCTGGTTCTGGGGAGATGGCTTCGTCTAACTCTACTTGAAGAGTCAATTATTTCCACAACAGCTCTGCTGTGGGCGGTTTTTGAGCATCTGCATGAATATGTTCTTTGAAGGGGACCACGATGTCAAGAGGGAATTTAGTCACTCCTGATGGCTCCCTGTGAAAGAAGCTGCTTTCCGTATGGATCTGAGATCTGCCATAGGCCACTCACATCTGCCCACAGGGCTGGATACATAATGTGCAGGACATAGTGCAAAATGAAAAGGAGGGGTCCTTTATCCAAAACTATTAAGAATCTCAGGGTGGTGAGAGCACAGAATTAAGACAATGAACCAAACCTGGGGCCTGGTGAGAGTACAGAGAGGCCGTAAGCCACAGAGCAGGAGCGCTTCGTTGCCACAAATCAGGGGATCCCCCTGACTCACCTTTGTAAATCTTTCTGTTTCCAAGCTCATTGATTGTAGTAAAACTCTCTAGCAGTGGATCAATAGAATCATTTTGTATAGATGGACAGAATTCTGTGGGGTTTCCAAAGACATCCTAAAACTACACAAACCTCAATAAAGTGCATGAAAGTCAAGGTTAGCTAGCTTTGCTATTTCAAACCTGTATCATCTTAGAGAGCTCATGTGTCCTCTGACTCCCCTGTTCATACTTCTAATTCTTTTCATCCTCTAGATGCATTTTCTTTGTTCCTTGTCTTTAAACTTTGTTTATATAATGTGGCAGATTCATAAAATAATGGGCTGTGCTTACTTGAAGAGGCAGAAGCAGAAACTACCATCACCTAGCTTGTTAGTTAAAATATGGGTAGTGACAGGGTGGCTGTGCCATACCTACTCATAGGTGCCAACCTACTGGTTTGTTTTGAGTATTAAATTAGTTTGCATAAAGCACCAAAAATAGTGAGGTCATAGAAGAGTGAGCTTTCTGTGAATGTCAGGTGTTTTTATTCAGCAAAGTTATTTCTGCTGTGATCTGTGGTTTGTGGCATCTGACATCTTCTTCCCTTTAAGTGCTGAGCTGCCCATTTCCATTGCTCTGGAATCTCTGTGTTCGCCATGAGCTGGAAAGCTGTCCTGGTGACTGCATGTCTTGGGGTCTGCTGTCACCCTGCTCCAAACCATGGTCCACAGAGCAGCCAGAAAATGAGCCCCAAACTGTGTCAACCTCCTGCTGACACCCCGTCAGGCCCTTCCCCATCACCTCTGGATACAACTCAGTTTCCTCACCTGCTCCGTGTTTCTCTGAGATGGACCTTGCTCCAGCATTCTCCAACATTCTCACCAGAGTGGCTGGTCATTCTTCCAACTGAATGAATAAATATAAATGAATAAATATGGGGATTAAATATTCACTTAATAATGTATCGGATGCTTTCTAGGAATCATATTATTAAGTACCCAAGACTCAGTGTGTAACCCATTCTAGCTGTTATTATTATGGTCACTGTTATTCAGTCAGCATTGCTGGAGCAGGTGAAAGGGGAATTGTGGGGGAGGAGGTGATATTGTGGGAGATGGAGAACCTAGATTGTTCTGGGCATCGTGAGCCGGGCTTGGACACTGTCCTTGGTGTGGAGAGAAGCCGCTGAGGATTTGAAGCAGGAGACTGATTTTCTCTTGACTGTGTCATCTCAGTTGGGCCTGAGGATTGAATCAAGGAGGACCCAGAGGAGAGGTGGGTGGACCAGACAGGAGGGCAGCATTGTCACCCAGGAAGGACATATGGCTGAGACTATGCATGTGGGAGCCAGAGTGGCCGGAAGTGGCTGACCTCAGGGTGTGATTTGGGGACAAAGCTGATGGCATTTGTTGATAGATGGGGTATAGATGAGGAGCCTGAGAAGTGCACAGTGACTTCTGGGTTCATGTCCTGATGGATGGATTTTTTTTTTAAGGTGCAGGGGATCAAGCCCAGGGCCTTTGCACTGAGCTGCATCCCAGTATTTTTCTTTTATGTTTAAAGTTTGAGACAGGGTTTCCCAGGCTGGACTTCAACTTGCAACCTTCCTCCCAAAGCCTCCTGGAGTGCTGAGATTGGAGGCCTGGACCACCATGCCCAGCTTAGGTGGATTCTTTATTCCATCAGGAGATAAAGCTGGTCCATGTCTGGCTCCAGTATAACTTGAACAAGTTGTTTCAACTCTCTGGAATGCAATGAACGATAGCCTTTCAAAATATGTTTCCACATCCTAACATAGCCATGTGCCATATAGCAATGGGATGTATTCTGAGAAAGACATCCCTGTGTAACTATCATGGTGAACATTTATGTGACCTTAGATGGTGTAGACAAATCAGTAGAGGTAGCCTCTTGATAGAATCAAGAGATTTAGTAAACAGATGTTTGAGATTGTTGCTGGCATAACACAGCATACTATTTTACAGTAAATTTTGTTTTTATAACTAGGGCTGGCTACACTTGAAAAAACAATAAAAGTATAGTATAATAAATATATAAACCAGTAACAAAGTCATTTGTTATTATTATCAAGAATTATACACTGTACATAATTGCATGTGGTATATTTTGGGGGGAAGGAGTACTGGAAATTAAACTAGGGAGAAATGAATTACTTCCTCGACTCTTTTTTAAATTTTGTCCTGAGATAAGTCCTCACTAAGTTGCCCAGGTTGGCTTTGAACTTGTGATCCTCCTGCCTTAGTCTCCTGAGTAGCTGGGATTATCAGAATGTACCACTGTGCCTGGATGCGCTATACTTTTATACAACTGGCAGCTCCATACAATTGTTTGCACTGGCATCACTACAAAAATGTGAGCAATGTGTTATGCTGTGAGTTATGACTGTATGCGATGTTGCTAGATGATAGGAATTTTTAATCTTATGTGGTCATCATGGTACACCCAGTCTGCTGTTGACAGAAATGTCATTATGCGGTGCACGACTGTACCTGGACCCCGTGAATGTTACTTTGTTTGTCAAAACAGTCTTTGCAGACATAATTGAGTTTGAGATGTTGGAACGAAATTATACTGAATTACTCATGTGGGAAGTAAACCTGATGACAAATCCCAGTGAGATTCAGGTAAAGGAAGATTAGGGAGATGGAAGCCACGTGAAGACAGAGGCAGAGGCTACAGAGACACACCTGCAAGGGGCAGAACCTCTACCTCGAGCCACCAGAAGCAGGAAGAGTCAAGGGGCAAATGTTCCCCATGGAGCTTTTAGATGTATCCTGTCCAGCAGACAATTCACTCGATTCCTCTGGTTGGCTTCACGAGTTATGGAAGGACAAAGTTCTACTGTTGGCAGCCACCCGCTTCATGGTTATTTGTCACAGCAACCCTAAGAAATGAATGCAATCTTCCAGATCACTTGTAGGTAAAATATTCTGAGAACCAATGACCCTGTCCAAGCTGTGGAATATCCTGCTGATGCCCTGCCCCACATCTCCTGGGCTCCACTCTGAGTTCTCCCGAAGTTTTTCTGAGAGGTACTGGGTGTGATGACATTTTCACCTACACTGCTGTTGTTTAGCTCCTCAGTGGCTTTCTCCAGGAGTCTGGGGACTTCTCTGGCCTGGGTGAGAGCCAGTCTAAGAATGCTAGGCACTTGACACCTATCAGGGCATCCTCCATTATCAAGAAACAAGGGTTTTGGTAGCAAACACCCCAGCTTAGATAAATAACCATATAGTGAAACCATTCTGGAGAGAGGTCTTGTTGGGTGGCCACATTTTTCAGGAGAACATGGCTGTACCGAGTCCAGGTTGACCACAGAGGCAACCTGGTCCTTACTACAGGGCTCACTGGATTTTTTCCCTCTCCCATCTTCCCTCAGTTATATCTCCTGAGAATGCTTCCCAAAGAAAAGCCATGCCCTTAAGTCCTTGCTTTAGAGTGCTTTTTGGGAATGGATCCAAACTAAGACACTGGCTGCTCTTATTCTTAGCTGTTTTAATTAGGTACATATTAATGAGCATGTATGTTACTATGCGATCATGTGTGCTATATGTTCATAGAGAAGAATGACCCCATAGAAAGCAAGTAAACTTCATTTTCTCCCTTCATCCTGGGAGGTACAGCTCATCAAAAAACAGCTATCAACCATTCCAAATTCCAGAAAAGTGATCCAGACAAAAGGCAAAGAGTCCAAAGCTGTTTTGGCAGCAAACTGAACATGGAAGGCCAAAATGCAAGTAATGGAAACTCTGAGACTTAAAATAACCAAGCAGAGTTCCACTTGATAAGGAAACTAGCAGAGTGCCCATCTAGTTAATTTATGAGGCTTTTTGAGAGGATCATCTTTAAGCAGATGTAGAGAATCAGAGACTCTCAGGAGATGTTTGGAGAGCTGCTGATGTGGAGCCTGTATCCCATTAGAGGCTGCAGGAGCCAGAGGGCAAAGAGCTCACACGGAGTTGTGAAAATACCATTCTTTTACGGCTGCTATATGATGCATGATCAAAAAATATGATGAATGTTTAAAATGTTTATACAAAATTATTACAAGAAAAGACACATTGCTGTGATCCTCCCAATACATCCCCTCACTTTGATCACATTAATCTCATTATTCTTGACACTTTCTGAAGCAGTTCTGAAGTCCTCCTTCCTGAGTGTCTTTAGTTGCACTGTCCTGGCTCCCTCAATGTCCTGAATCAAAACATTTCCCTTTCATGGTCATTTTGACTTTGGGGAAGAGCCAGAAATACCATGGCACCAGATCTGGTGAATAAGGTGGATGAGGACACAGCATCATGTGTTCTATGAGTCTGCCTTGGCAGCAAGATTCACCACATTTTTGATCACAGTTGGTAAAGTCCCTCAGGAAAGAGAACTTCCAGAACTGCTTTAGAGAGTGGCAAGAACAATGGGATAGGTGGGCTTGAATCAAGAAGGTTATTTTGAGGGGGATTCATGGCAATGTGTCTTACTGTAATAATTTTTTATTTATACATTCACCACCTATTTTGAGAACCCTTTGTGGTTTGGATCTTAGGTGTCCCAGGAAGTCTCATATGTTAGAGGTTTGGAGAAGTGGTGGAACTTTGAAGAGGCAGGGCATCGTGGCGGGGCATTAGGTCACTGGAGGTGGCCCAGAAGGCAACTGTGAGATTCTAGTCTTACGTACTTTTTCTTTGTTGCTCCATGGCCATGAAGTAAGATATTTTTCTCCATTATGTGCTTCTAACCATGAGGTGTTGTCTTGCCACATTCCCAAAAGCTATGGGGACAACCAATCATGGACTGGTGCTCCAATACTACAAGTCAAAATAAACCTTCCCTCTTTATATCTTGATTCTCTCTGGTGTTTCTTATAGGGATGAATGCTGGTACAAAAGTTAAGCCTAGTATGTCCCTGAGAGAAAAACGTAACCCTGGCCAGGCTGATAGATGAAAATACTAACCTACTGATGATAAAAAATGGGATGAATTAGTTATGGAAGGGGAAATCTATAGATGATCTTGAAACACAGAGTGAACCTGGACACTTGTCAGAAAACATTTTGTTTATTGCAACTTTGTCCAAGTTGAGAAAAAATAATTGTCCTGGTCATTTTTAGCTTTCACCAAACTTTTATTCCTGCCTTTTGGTGGCTTCAACACTACATGTGTAAAATTCTAAACAGAACAATTCCACACAAGGAGAAAATTCAGCCCTTGCATGTGGGACAGCCCTTCACCCTGTCTGACCCACAGATGGGAAACCACTGATGTCAGCGTTGCAGTTCTGTGAGTCATATATGTGGTCGAATCTTAGCAGCAATCTTTACCTGCTTCCAAATACTGTGGCGGGAAAGACAGTTGCTGATATTTGCAATAGTACAAGCTGGGTTTGAGACTTTGAGATGCTGCTTAGTAACTGAGACCCCAAGCAAGTCACCTATGCCCTCAGCTCCTCTAATCCTACCTGGTAGGACAGACAAAGACCCCCTTCTATACTTACTGCAAAAGTGCAGATTCAATTAAGTAACAGTTACAAGAGGGTTTGGAAACAAGAAAAACAGGACACCTATGTTAAGAGATTAACCTAAACATTTTATTTTCATTGTGAGGATAGTTTTTGTGGATCCAGTGCCTCCGTGGTAACTGTGACAGTCCCCCATGTTCACCTGAGCTCAAGGTTTTGTGGCCTGCATCTCACTGGGCTGGGTGGAAGAAAACAAAAAGCATTTTGTTTAACTTCTCAGGCATTTAAAGATTGTGACACAAGGAAATGGCTACGTGATAAAAATCTCATTGGGATTAACAAGTGTGGTTCTGACCAGGCAGGAAGAGTGGAGTCGTTAGTTATGTGTAACAGTGAGTAACCTGGCCCAGTGCTCTGGGAGGCTGAAACAGGAAGACTGCAAATTTGAGCCCTGCCTGAGTAATTTAGTGACTTAGCAAGACCCTGTCTTGAAATAATAAACAAGCAAACCAATGAATGGGCTGGGATGTAGCTAAATGCAAAGGCCCTCAGTTCAACCTCCAATTCATAGTACTAGGAAAAAAAAAAAAAGCAACCTGGGATGAAGCTGAGTGGAGTGGAAAGAAATGCGATCGAGCTCTTTAGACTGACTGGGTACTCAAGTTCAGGGGCACCACTGACAGAAATGTCTCTTTGTGTCCCTCTCTCTTCCACCAGACTCCCATGGGACCCCCACGTATTTCCTATTGGGGAAGTCCCTCTCCCGATGCTAGGCCTTGATATCCATCCTTTTCTTCTCCAGGGACCCCTCTGGGAAGGACTTGGTCACCATACTTTATCTCCGGGCAGAAATATGAGGCAACTCAAATATGGCAAGTGCTACAAAGTCTTAGGATTTAAAGAAGATGAAGAAGGCTTTTGCTTCCTGTAGTTCGGTTCTCTAGAGAGGCAGGCCGGAAGTGCTTCTAAAGGCAGCTGTCTGTATGGCTTCTGCCCCAGTTAGAATCGTTTTCCTTTTCCTCACATCCCGACTGTGAGATCCACTGCCCTAATGGAACTTCCTCATCCACGTCTCTTTCATGGACAAATCAAGTCCACAATCAAAGAAAATCATTAAATACTTGGCCGGTTTTATCTTGCACTTCATGAATTGAGTGAATGTGGGAGACCAGATAGGAAGACTGAGGCTTAATTGGCCTCCTCAGAGAGCACTAAGAAGAAGGGTGGCATGGAAGCATGCTGACGTGCTTCAGGGAAAAGTAAAAACAGCTATGATCCTGTTGTTTCCCCAGACAAGTACCTGGGAGGGTAGGAGACAGTGAATCCTGTATAACTTTAACTGCTTGCACCTGTGTCTGACTGAGTAAAGGCAAGGTGCACCAGTCACTCAGGGCTCTCTGTCTGTCGAAGGGAACAAGAGTCCCCTGGCCCTCCACATTTTAACCTGATTCTGTGTTTCTTTATTTTTCATCCTCGTCACTTCTTGGTCAGGTTGGAGCTTGTAGGCGGGTTCCTACAGGTGAACAACAGGAACTAAACTATATTTTACCCTGGACCCCCCCCCCCAAATCTGGATCTTTTTCATAATTTTATTTTCATTTATTTTTGTCGTAGTACTAGGGATTGAACTCAGAGCTTTTATACTGAGCTACATCCTCAGCTCTTGTTTAGTTTTCATTTTGAGGCATGGTTTTGCTAAGTTACTAAGTTGCCCAGGTTGGGCTCAAACTTGTGATCCTTCTGCCCCAGCCTCCCAGAGTGCTGGGATGACAGGCGTGCATCACCATGGCTAGCTTTGTCATGAATTCTTGATTTGCCTTATGTAACTTTGATGACAGCAATGGGAGCAAGGTAGAGGTGATCAGCCATTCTGGACCTCAGGAGGATGAGCAAGTAACATTTGAGGATGCAGAGGGGGTTAGGCTGAGGGGAGGGAGACAGCTGCCTCATTGTCATCGTTGATGTTGTTAAAAATAGGGAGGTCTCTGCCAGAGCTGAAAGCTGGCTTGGGAAACCAGATTTCCAAAAACCTTGAGAAGTGACCGCATAAGTTAATGTGCAGAACCACTGAAAGAGGTTTTTTGTTTTTGTTTTTTTGTTTTGCATGGGGCATGGATATCTCAGGGATGACTGCTGCAGAGAGAAGAGGCAGAGTCATCTTAGGGGAATAAAGGGCTTTCCCGACCGTCTCAAGGCAGTCCTGGTGCCCATCTGTTCATTTCACATAACAACTACTTAGCTTGTCTGCCACGGCGTGGGACCTGAGTCTCCAGGGTGATCTGGATCCAGGGCCATGTGCTTAATAGGAGTGCAAGAACCTCAAGTGCAAAATGCTTTGGCTGCCTTGTGCACTCCTTCTCAGGCAGAGTGCTGGGGCCAGGGGGCCTTGCTGAGCATTACTGTGCATGAGCAGACTGGGCTCAAAGTGGTGAAGTGGTTTAGCCCTAGTAAAGAGCTGGTGACTGCAAAACCAGCCTTTGAATCACCATCAGTTGAATTGCTGGTAACCCGGGGTCTGTGTGTGAGTAGGGCGTGGAGGAGGGTCTGCTCACTGCAGCTGGGCCCTCAGCCTGTGAGTCCTGCTGGAGTGACCTCAGCATCCTGGCTGCCTCTTGTTCTGTCACAGAGCAGCTGCCACTTCTTGCTGCTTTCCAAAACTACTCTTCTTCCCGTTGAGCTCAAACCATGACCAATTAGGATAGACAACCCTTCAATTTAGTATAAATAGCTTTAGAGATAGTTCAGTTTACACTGGTATTGTATACTTATTAAGAAAACAAGTTTTGAGATCTGGAAGACTCCAGTTTGTATCCTGACTCTGCCACTGCAAGCTGTGTGACCTAGGACAAGTTGCTGAACTTCTCTGAGCTTCAAGTATTTTTTTTTTAATATTCAAAGTAGAGTTGACATCAGAATATATTTTACAGGATGGCTGTTGTCTTAGTTGCTTTCTCATTGCTGAGACCCAACACTGGACACTCACATCTTAAAGGAAGAGGGCTTTGTTTTGACTCACGGTTACAGTCCATGGTCAGCTGGCTCCAACAGAGAGCATAGTGAAGGACAAGTCCCTCACTTCACGGTGTCCAGGAAGCAGAGAGAAAAGGGAAGAGCTGGGAGGGAGTTACACCCTTCCAGGCCGCCTCCCTAGCCACCAGGCTCCACCTCCTAACAGCAACTCAGCTTTAGCACTCTGGTGGTTCAATCCTTTTCCAAAATCCCGCCTGTGAGCGCATGATGAATGTGGGGGAACTTCTTTATCAAAACCATAGCAGTTGTGATGAGTAAATCAGTTGATGTATATACTTAGTACAGCACCTGCTACTTAGTAGATATTCAGTTGTTGTAAGTTATCATCATCCTCATCAATATCACCAATTATTTCATGTTCCATGAGTGTTCTGGACACAGAAGAACAGAGATAAACCTTAGCCTTCTGAAAGGGGTGGACAGGATGAACAGATTCTACAGACCGCCATGTGGAATTTGGGGAATTCTGAGAAGAGTTTATTTCAATCTGATCTAAGTGCTGTCTTCAGTATTTGACTTTTTTGTGGATTGCCGGGGGCCAGTTCAGACCCATGGAGAAGAAGGAACAGAAAGGTGACTTTGGATGTTTGGCAAGACAATAGCTGACATTCCAGAAGGAAGAGAAGAAATGTCCCCAGCTAGCCGCACTTCCTAGGGCTTTAGTGGGTGGCGATATAATGCCCTGGCCCAAGCCTGGCACTAGGCTATTGCTCAGAAAATGTGTGTAGCTGTGATGATTATCACCTACCATGCCCTACAGCTCACAAAATGCCTCCACATCCTGAAGTGAGGAGCCGAGCCCTGAGGTGGAGACCCCCTTGAGGGCATTGCATTGTCACAGGTGACATCATAACAGGAAGGGCTGAACAAGGGAGAGATCACAGGGTGGAACAGGAAGTGGGAGCGTGGGGCAGGGCCAGCCCCCTGGGCGCCACCACTCAAAGGTCTCACTGTGTCTCAACCTCATCACGTTGAGGACTGGGTTCCCAACACATGAGCCTTTGGGGGGACACACTCAGACCATATGCATGGTGGCAGGTGGCATCTAGAAGTGGAAGACCTGGAGGAAAGCATAGGAGCATCTATCAGGAAAGACCTAGCCTCTGCAGAGGGAGCTGTGGTCTCTGAAAACACCCATAGAAGTTCCCAACAACATAAAAGTCTGCCTGGCACCCTCTACCCTGACACCACATCATAACCAGACCGGCCAACTCCAGCTGTTTGCATACCTCCTCTCCCCAGGCTGAATACTAGGGGTCAGAATCAGAGAGGCCCTGAAATGTAGGGTGAACAGGGCCATTGTTTGCACAGAACCCTATACTCAGCAATCACACAGGGCAAACACTGGTGCTTTCCTGGGCAAATGGGTTTGTAGAGTCACTCTGGCTATCAGCTTTGTACCACAAGAGAGAAATTAAGAGAGAGCTGGAAACTGCTTGTGCCTGGCTACTCCTCTATTGCATGCATCAAGTTTGCAGCAGTCCCTGCTCTTCCCAGGTAGGAGGGAAGATGCTTACACTGAATGAAACATGGAGTTTCATTCCTTAAGAGTAATGCTGTTCTTGTGACTAATATGAGCTGGTTCAAAGAAGCTTTGGGAGCTCCTAAGATTTTATCAGCTATAAGAAAGTATAACTTTGGGAGGTGGGAGCTTGTATGGGGATACAGAGACAAAGCAAAGTTGTTTTATAATTTCACCTTAGCAATGGTAGCACTTTCAGTACAAGGCTACAGTGAGTGATTACAATACTCATGACAACCATACACTAGATTAGGAGGCTATAGGGCAAGTAGGTATAGGGATTACCATATCTATGTTCTTCCTGCCACTTGGGTAGCCTCAGTGGTGCCTAACTATCCATCCATCCATCCATCCATCCATCCATCTATCCATCCATCCAACCATTTATCCACCCATCAATCTAACCATCTATCCATTCATCCATCCCTCCATCCATCCCTTCACTTGGCCTACCTTTCAGTATATTGGTATGTCCAGGGCACTGGGATAGGCACTAGGATTGCTTGGAAGATATTATATGGAGACAAGCGCTTCCTGGATGGAGATTTGTTCAAACACTGCTAATGTTGCCATCTGTTGAGTGGTTATCACTGGTCCAGAAGATTTTATTTCTACCAGTTCTCACAAGGCCACAGAAGCAGCTATCATGATTTGCTGCTTGTAGATAAAATCTGATTCTTGTAGATGAAGAATGTAGTACTAAGAAATATTAAGCTTGATTGCCCTTGGCATGGATTCCTCTGTGGGAGGCCAGGGAGTGAATCCACATCTTTAATTATGAAATCCATTGTCCCTGCACTCCTCTGGAAGCCTCTCTGGACAAAGCCCTAGAGTTTCTTCCAGTGCTCTGTTAATTTGGCTTTGAAGAGGCATTATTCAGGGGGCCAATGTTCTACTGTCCCAGTGCTATTGTGTAAACTCTTTGACACAAATTGCCTTTGTCACTGAGGGAAAGTAGGCAACTGAGAATGCTTGGAGGGTAGGAGGACGTGTGTCATTTGCTTTGCTAATGAGGCTGGTGCATTCAAGGGACTGCTTCACCCTGAGATAATAGGAGAGAGATTAAAATTGATTTATAACCTAACATTGTCAGGGAACCTCTCTGAACTGCCTTTTGGGATCTAATCTCTGCCCACTTCTGCGGAGAGATTAGATGTCATTTAGAAAAATGTCAACATGTTTGTCCTTGATGGATAAGCTAACTTAACAAAAACCCCAAGTTCTGTATCAGCCTTGGGGGGATCGGCTCCTGAAGAAAACCACGCCACTTTGACTGTATTAATAGGAGCATGTTGCCAGTCCAGGGAGGTGACTCATTTCCTATGGGTCTCTGGGCTGTTGGCTTTAGCTTGTGCCCACCTGGAGATGTTAACAAGATAAAGCTCAACCAGGAAGAGGTAACCAGGATTATGAAGGACCTGGAATTTGCATGTCGTGATGAATATTTGAAATACAATGAAATCTTCATCCAGGAGGACGATGCTGGCTTCCATGTTCAGAAGAGCTGCTCAGAAGTGAGGGTGGGAATTTCATTCACTGCGTCTTCGTCTTCAGGAAGCTAAAGTCACAGGAAGGGTAGCACTCACAGGAGGGCAGGGTTCATCTTCAGAGAAAGAAAGGGTTTCAGTTGAGGCTGCCTGGTACTGCAGTGCTGGCCATGAGCTGTGCACCCCTCTTCCATGGGGTTGTGGCCAAGTCCCCATCCTGCTCAGGAAACCACCCCAAACTCTGCCGCAGGAATCTGTCCAGACCCCACCACCTGCACATGCTTGGGCTTCCCTCTGAACTCTCAAGCTTCTCAGCTTGGCCCTTTCTCTTTTACAGGTACCTGGTGCTTTGCTTGTCCCTTAACTATAGCATTGCAGCCTCCTCCTCTCTCTCCCAAGTTTCTCTCTCTTCTGGGCCCTCGAGTTTCCCAGCACTATTTATAGCTTGCTGACATCTGTGTTGGAAGGTTTCAATGCAGCAGGGTAGACAACGACCAAATTCTTGAGGCTGACCAAGTAAGGGGTGCCGGTCTCTCTCAATTCTAGAGGGGGTGACCAGGGGCTGCTGCCAACTCCACAATGCTCGGAGACCCAAGCAACTGATCTTCTGCCCCACTGCACTCAAGGCCTGGATTCAATCTCATTTTCCAGAGTGGATACTTGGGGTTTCAGCCATCACATCTGCATGCCAGGTAGCAAACAGTAGGACATGACAAGGAATTCTCCTGTAAGGAGGCTCCCCAGAGCTCCCTCATGATACTTTCATTCTATCTCACTAAGTCTTAGACCAAAAAGTGTACATTAATCTTGAATCCTGCTTCAAGGCAGTTCTGAAAACACTCGGGTATTATTTCAGAGATGGGGAACGGGGCAGAGCCAGGCAGCCGTCATCAGCCGGTGCTCTAGACTCTAAGGGATGGCTTGACCTGGATGATACACAGGTGTTCCAGATCTCCCTGTCACACTTCTCTCCTGTTTCCCCGATTTCAGGAACTCCACCTCCATTCATCCTATTGCCCAGACCAAGCCTGGTTGTAATGGTGATGGTGCCTCACTCTCAGTCAATTACTGAGTCCTAGACACACCCTGCAACCCTTCCAATGTCTTCCCCTCTCTTCTGCCATCACTGTCCTAATCCACACCACCGTCTCTGGCCTGACTTTCTGGAAGAAATAGATCTAACCTTCTTGTACTTAGAGAACAACATCACCCACCCCATGGTGCTTAAGACAAGACCCTGTGCTGTCCACATCTTCTTCCTTTCCTTCTACCTCCGGGGCAGTCCCAACCTCCTCCAGATCTTTGCTTTGTCTTCTCTGAACACCATTGCCTGCTTCTCCTCTGCACGTCATACTTCCTCCCACCTCTTTCCTCTCTTTGCCTGACTCAGCCCTATCACACTCTTTCAGGTTACTCTGTAAAAGTCACTTTTCCCATTTTTATTCCTAAGCTAACATTTATTGATCATACATGGCAAGGTGGTTAGCAGTCTTTATAGATAATCTCCCTTTATTTTTCTCCAGGGCTCTAGGAGAAAAGCCATTTTGTTATTCTCATGTCACATATGTGGGAATTTGAAGTGTAGGTCATATGAATGATGTGTTCTGTAACAGGCTTGGTGCTGGACATGCTGATAGGTTCCTATGCCTCCCAGGAAGTCTTCTCCTACTCCCTGTAGTGAACTCTGCTGAGGGTTTTTGATGGGACCCTAAGGTTCCCTCATATCTAACACTCTGTCAGAACTTCATACTCCTCCACGCCCCTCCAAACTCTTCCATATCTGTTAAACAAGGCATGGCTAAAGCCTCTGGATTCTTAAAGCCTCCTGAATATGGGATTCGATGTACACAGCTATGGAGTTCACTTTGGAATTAGATTACCTGGATTATCATCTGTGTCACCAGTCATTATGACCTTGGGTAATTACTTAACCTCTCTGTGCTCATGTAAAATGTGTAAAACCGGCACAATGGAAGCATAATGCTAACTTCTCAATAGGATTGTTTGGAGAATGAATTAGATAATACAGTCATCCTTTGATATCCTCCAGGGAATGGTTCCAAGATTCCTACATATATCAAAATCTGCAGATGCCCAGGTCCCTTATACAAAATGCATGGTATTTGCATAGAACTTACGCATATCCTCGTGTATACTTTACATCATCTCCAGATTACTTATGATACCTAGTAAAATGCAAATGCTGCAGAAATACTTGTTATACTGTATTGTTTAGGAAATAAGGGGAAGGAAAGCAGTCTGCATGTTCAGTTTAGACACGATTATTTTTGATCCTTGGTTGAATCCGTTGGTTGACCTGCAGATACAGAGGTCTGACAATGAACACGCAAAGCCCTTGCTACTGCACCTGCACTTGGTAAGTCTGCCAAGGTCAGCTGCTGTCCTTCTCCTTGTTGTTATTCTAATGCATTGACCACGGCTGCTCCAGGGGTCTGCTGTGGTTTCGTGAGACAGGCGCCATGTTAGGCCACCTTTGGATCTGCAGTTCCTGGAGAGCTGCCCAGGGCGTATCCCTTTTCGGTGGCTATTGGTGCAAAGAGATGGTGACTTGCTGTCCCAGAAGCACCTTCTAAACTAGGTTCATCAGAAAGCCAGATCATTGGGTGTGGGTCGGTGTTAGTTTTGCCTTGGAAGAATGGCTGGCTGTTCAGGCACACCCTGTGTGTTGCTGGCTCTGTAGTTGCTCAGATATTCAGAAAAACAGATGAGCAACTTCTTCCTGGAAAAGGTTGTGGAGGCTGGGCAGGCTATTACTCTGAGAGGCAGCGACCAAGGTGCAAATTGCATTTCCTG